CATTCCTTCATAACACCTATTTTAAAAAAGGAGCCATCATCTGATCCCGGCAATTACCGACCTGTTAGCATCACCTCTTTGTTCTGTAGGCTCTTTGAAAGACGCCTCAAGGAGCATGTCATCAAATATACTCTTGAATGCGACTTAATACCGGCGAATCAACATGGCTTCACCCCAGGACGCTCTGTTGAGACGAACATGATTGAATGTCTCGACGATTGGACAGATGCCGTCGATAACGACCGTTGTTGTGATGTTATCTACTTCGACTTCGCCAAGGCTTTTGACCGGGTGTCGCATGTAAGGCTAATCCATAAACTTGAAAGAATTGAAATTTCATCCTATTCTTATTAATTGGATCACCGATTTTCTCAGGGACAGGACCTTTCCAAGTTAGAGTTGGGGGTGCTACTCCGTTAGCAAAGAAGCTTATAGTGGCGTGCCCCAAGGCGGTGTTCTGTCACCAGTGCTGTTTAACATTTTCACTGCGGAGATTCCTAGTCTGTTTCGGGGACTTGGTGTCTCGGTAGAAGATGTACGCAGATGATGTTAAAATCTATAAGAGGATATGTGGGCAGTCCGACTGTGAAGAACTTCAGAGAGCTATTGACCTGCTTGGTAACTGGGCGAGAATTTGGCAACTTCCTCTTGCCCCGCATAAAACATTGTGTATGAGGATTTCGTCTAGTTCGAAAGCTCTTCCTTTCCCATACACCATATACGGTGAAGTCGTTTCTCCCGTCAACTCTGTCAGAGACCTTGGCTTCCGATATTCCAATACCCTGAATTTTTCTGAACATATCAAAAATCGATGTAACTCTGCTTTTTTGAGGACTGTTCATGTTTTCAAGGGTTTGTCTTCCACAAACAAGTCAGTCCTCTTGAAAGCATATAAGACGTACGTTCGCCCTTTGGTTGAGAGTGGGGCCACGGTGTTCTTCCCCGCCAGTAAACGGGATATTTGTGCCTTAGAAAAAGTGCAAAACAATTTTACCCGCAAAATTCTCTTAAGAACTAGGAGCTTCTTGTATTCTAGGATTCCCAAAGCTTCCGTTAGAAACAAGTACTTTGAACTCTCCTCCCTTGAAACACGTCGTAAGGTTGCGGATGTTTGCATGGTCTACAAGCTTGTGCATGAGTCTAATCCAAATAATCCTTACATTCTATAAACACTAACTCTGTGTGTCGGTTTGTCGGTATGTATGTATGTCGGTTTGTATGTCTGTCCGTCCGCAAAATGCTTTACGGGATTAAACACGTTAGTGAAAGAAGAAAACGACCGCTAGCCAAACCGGGAACCCATCGGTGCAGATGTATCAATCCAATGTTTTGATTGTGATAACAGCATATATAAGACAACCACTCGGTACACTCCGAGCCATTGCACGAGCTGCTGCCGTGGCAGCTGGACGTGTGCTCGTGCGGGGGCAGGGTGGGGGTGCCAGGTCGCCCTGCTCCTGCATGTGCTCAGCCGGAGCTGAGCACATGTATTGGAGGGAGGCAGAGGGAAGGGGTCGCGGGGAGGGGGGGGGTAGGGACAGTGTGAGGGGG